TGAAATCTATACCTTAGGCCCAGTTCACATCTTATCCTCCAAGAAGCCAACATTCTTTCCGACCAGATGCGATCTCTCCTACCCTTGAATTTCTATTCATTCTAGTGATGTGTATACTTGCTTTCACTATTGCCACCTTTAAACATACATGTCTTGAAGGCAGGAATTGTCTTCTTAATTTTGCTAACACCTGTAGCAGCTTGCAATAAATTTAGGAGGTTAATTCACAACACAGGTAGAAGCTGGCATGAATTTACTAAGTATAATTCATATTACTAAGGTTTCTAAAACAACAAGATTAAGAGAATTTAACAAGGTAAGTGTGGATTTCAAGAAATCATTTGAAAGATACCATAACCAAATTTTTTGTGGGCTACATGAAGAAAATGGGCTGTATTACAGTACGAACCACTCATTAATTCAATAAATATTAATATTTAAGTGCCTACTACATGCAGACCCTATGATAGGCCTACAATCTAAGGATATGGATCCTGCTGGGAAAAACAGACACTACACAAATAATTACAAATCTATAAGAGTAACAAAGGAAAGAAACCAGATGCAGTATTAGAAAAAAACAGGCCCAGTCAGCACAGTGGTGCATGCCTATAGTCCCAGCTACTTGGGAGGCTGAGGTGGAAGGATAGCTTAAGCCCAGGAGTTCGAGGCCAGACTGAGCAACATAGCAAGACCCCCGTCTCTTAAATAAATAAAAATAAACACAGAAAAGAACAGGTCCAGAAGGAAAGTTCCTATTTAGACAAGATGACGGGGGTAGAGGTGGGAGGAAGGGGCATTATAAGCTGAAAGAATGAGCAAGTTAGATGAATTCGTAATGCATAATGGATTGATTGGTTGATTATACCCAAAAGGTGCTGACTGATTAAGGGAGTAACCTGCCAAAGGGATCTCTGAAAAGACCTGGAGCATCAAAACTTTTATGAATGGCTGGGTGCGGTGGCTCATGCCTGTAATCCTAGCACTATGGGAGGCTGAGTCGGGAGGATTGCTTGAGCTCAGGAGTTCAAGACCAGCCTGAGCAAGAGTGAGACCCCGTCTCTACTATAAATAGAAAGAAATTAGCCAAACAAGTAAAAATAGAA